AGTTGACAAGGAGCTGGAAAACGAGGCCATTACCAATCCATGCAGCGAGTTCTACCAGAAGCCGGCTGAGTATGCCATGAAGCGCTATGCGTACTACCTCTGCCATGACTGTGAGAGGGTATGTACACAAGATAGATAGATAGATAGATAGTGGTGCACTGCATTGCCATATGCTGGTAGACTGTTAGAGTACAGTATTGCCAGACAGATAGACAGGTGTCCAACCCAACAGATATGTACTCGCCAGTATTCTCTTACATCACCACAGTGAGGTGTCCAGTCGTATGCACACAATCACACATGTTCAAGTAAGCCATGGTTTTGGGGGTCAGACATGCATTATATCGTTATCCGTAACAGTGTAATTGATTCATGGATGGCACCAGAAATTTCGACCTTCCAGCACCTGTGGTCACGTGACTACTTTCGCAGACTGTATGCGTCAGAGGCAGGTGTAGCATGTAAGCAGTGTGAAGATGGTATACCATGAGGATAATGTGCTTCCATCTAATACTTCTCCTAGGATAATGTGAGTGTGAAGTCCATTTCCAATAGATTCTCCAAGGTACGAGAAACCCGGCCTTTTTTATTTTATTTATTTTTATTTTTTTTACTATTGAACACTCACTGCATGATGAACTAAAATGAGGAGAAGAACTCGACACAATGGTACATATCCAGCAGGACGGAGTGGGTGCGACCTGTGAAGCTCAGCCGACCAAGGGTCTTGGCATCACAGCTGCACATGTGCACCAAAGGAAACAAAATGGGGAGTGGAAGGGCGGGGAGGGGAGCAGGAGAGCAAGAACTCTAAGGGTAGGAAAGAGAGGAGGGGGGGGGGGGGTAGGAAACCAGGAAACTTGTTATTCCAAGATATGAGTGCAGACAACTACGCAAACAAGTACAAATATAGCAGTATCAAGATCATGATGCTGAGGCGAAAGTAGAGGCTGATTGCCGTGCAGATTTGACGAAAGATTAGAGGAGAGTTAGAGAGAGATAAAGACAGATGGATTGGGAGTTTGATGAGAAGGGAGTGCTCCGAGAACATGAACAGGGTCGTACTGGCAGTAGCCTAGGGGGCGATGTCCGTGGCCAATGACCAACCCGACCGTTTCAGGTAGCGGTAGGTCTGAACCTTGAACTGCTGCATCCCTTTGGCAGACGGTGCATCGCGGAGGAGAGTGGCTGGCAGTTCATTCCAGGCTTCGATGAGGCACTCCGGGAAAGAGCGCAGCGCAACATTGCACGATCTGGCAGGTAGGGCTGTCTGGAGTTGAAGCTCGTGCGCAAGGTTGGCTGCCGAGCGGCGGCCTGGGTAAGCTATTGCGAACAAAGAGCGTTGCAACATTTTTTCCCGTTTGATCTACAGCCTTACTTCGGCGGTGATGCTCAGTGTGCAGTACAAGTTGTCGGAGCAGAGTTTGACCCACAGGAACTTATGTGTGGACACTGCTCCAATGTCCTAGGTGTGGAGGTAAGAATGCTATCTCGATGCATATGACTCCGTGTGAAATTTGAGGAATTTAAAAGGTTTTTTTATTGAATTCTTTACTCTCACGACGGCACCATCGCCAATAAGAGGTTGCAGTTGACATTGTTTATCACACAGAATGGAGCAGATTTTTGAATGTTGCTATGTGGGGAAGATGTGAACGGGGCATATGGGCTTAAGGTAGCAGTCTACCCAGAATGATACCTGTCATAGGCTATCCAGTATATCTCCAGAACGCATCAGTAGAATTGCTTCAAATTTTCAACATAGCATCATCATGTCACTAGGCCGATGTAGAAAAAAAAACTGGCAATAAATCAAACCAAAAGTGAGATGACAGAAAGTTTTGAGAAACTCCTGTACAGAAAATACGGACCGTGAAGTTTATGCAGCATAACTTTAGTTTGTACAACAGAAAGCATTCCAAACTTACTCTCTCTCAAGACCTCATGCATGTGGAAATCCAATTAACCTTTCAAACCAAGAGAGGATAGAAATACTGAGTACTTGGCAACAATCCAAATGAAACCACCCGAACGGTCGTAAACAACACAGACCGCTTCTTCTCGTAAACAACACAGACCGCTTCTTCTCGTAAACAACACCGACCGCTTCTTCTCGTAAACAACACAGACCGCTTCTTCTCGTAAACAACACAGACCGCTTCTTCTCGTAAACAACACAGACCGCTTCTTCTCGTAAACAACACAGACCGCTTCTTCTCGTAAACAACACAGACCGCTTCTTCTCGTAAACAACACAGACCGCTTCTTCTTGTAAACAACACAGACCGCTTCTTCTCGTAAACAACACAGACCGCTTCTTCTCAGCAGAAAGTCAATGCAGTTTGCAAGAAAGTTACATACTGTAGGTTCATTGGATAGGTAGGAAAATGTAGATGCGAAAAAAGGTAACATTCAACACAATAGCATGAACAGTTCTTGAGTTATGCTGCATCAAGTGAGCCCCGGACAACTAAAAAAGAGACAACATGTAGTAGTCAAAATCACACCCCAAATTCGCCTGCTCCATAAGTACAACCTTCTTTCTCCATAGTAGCGTCAACAAATCCTTTCTTCTTGGCCCTGCGCCTTTTCCTGGCTTTCTCCTCCTCCTCAGTGCTCTTTCTGGTGCAATGGTACTGTTTCTTGCTGTCCAATTCTCCCAGGGCTGCTGATGTGTAGGCGCCGGCAAGCATTGCATTTCTTTAAGCAGCCCACCGATCTGCTGGTAGCCACTGTTAAACAGCAAGACAGATAGGTACACTGCTGTCCTCACAGTTTTGGCACTGCATAATAATTCTTTGGGGCAGATGACCATATCATCCTGTTAAACGCCTCGTTTGCATTCTGCGTGGCTCCTCTAGAGCATCGCTCAAAAGTGGCCGGTCAGCAAGACGAGTATACACAGGGCGAATCTCATCCAGTACAGCCTTCGGTATAACATCATGGTGCTCGTACATGCCAGGCCGCCCCGCCCGGATCTGCTGGTATTTGCACCATGACTCCAGCCCCTCCGGACAAAATGGTGCATAAGCTTGTCGTCGGAGGAAGCTCGGTGACACAACGAAGCCCGTATGGCCTTAGCAGCGCGCGTGACATCAGATGGGTGGTTGCGTATCGCCATGCCGTAATAGTTTTGCAGCGAGTCGATCAGGCTATCAGTCAAACGGCCCCTTCCACCAACAGCTTTTCCACCGGCTAGCTTGGTTGATCGCAGGCGCTGTTTGAGATCACGGAGGCCTTTCCCCAGCCGCTTCTGAACGTGTCCTGTGCATTCTTCTTTAGCAATGGGGATATCTCCATACGGCTTCTCAGCACAGACAGCAGCAGTGTATCCCTTGCTAGCACCGTCTCCCAAGTAGGTGGTATATCGAAGCCCACGGTGCTCCAGAGACCACTTCCAGAGGACTTTCACTGCCTCCATTTCCATTGCAGGCGATGAAGCAGTGGTGTTGATCAATCACTAACCACGTTTTGCACAGTACTTTGCCCGCAACTCGCAGAATTATGTAAAATTATTGGAATGCAAATTTCAAATGCTATTTTGGTATTCACGGTGCACTTCAATGCATCATATCTTGCAGCAGGCTGGCCCAATGACTGTGAAACTTCACAGGCATGTATTTCAAACTGTTGGCTTTCATTTGAGCCAATTTTCAATGAAATGGACGAACTTTGCTTTTTTCGCATTTTTAGGGTAGTGCATGATGGTGACCTGTTGACCAACTCATGTACAAATTCAACTGCCAAGAGGAGAGGCAAGAAGTCGAGTCCAGTTGTTTGCATATCTAGGTTCCACTCTAAAAGGTGTGAGCTATGAAAAGGAGGTCAGACATCGAAATGTCTATCCAGTGGTTTGTGTCTCAAGTTGGCTGACTGGTTGTTTTTGTCCAGGTGTGTCCGAAGCACGGAACGGACTTCATAGCGTACAAATGTCGCTACTGCTGCACTCTCGCCGTCTACTTCTGCTTCGGAACAACTCATTTCTGTCCAATGTGTCATGACGTGAATTTTAGGGAACTGCGCTATCAAACCAAATTTCCCTCCTGCCCTGTAGGGCCCACGTGTAAGAAGCTGGAAGGAGTGCCGTGTCCGCTTGGAATCAAGCACCCTCCAACGGGCGAGGAGTTTGCCATTGGCTGCGTGGTGTGCCTGGATTTGCCATGATGTTAGGTCATCCTCAGTTTTGTGCTTAATCATCAATCCCATCACCAGGCCTACTTGAATACTTCTGTGCACTGTTCTTTAGTCATGTAGACCAGGCTGGACTTGGCTATGGAAAATGCAAAAGGAACGAGAGTAACAAACTATTTTCACACACTTCTTTCTTGAATTTCCCTGTATGAGAGTGGCTCGTCAGTATACCTTAACAAAAGACTGTACTCTACTCACCCATATGTTTTACGGTCGCAAGTTTTCACTGCCCAGTCAAATGTGTTGCGGATTTCTGTTCAACTATGATTTACGCATGTTGTTGTATTTGGTTCTTGTCTGGTAGAGTCCAGTGTCTGATGTCATAATTATGGTCTAAGAGTACGCGCGAGTATGGTGTGATGTGTGACGTTTATGGTATGTGGTGCATGCAAGAGTACGCGTTGTCAGAGTGTGAGGATCTGCTTCCGTCTGTGTGAGAGTGACTGTCAAGTGAATGCTGTACATGCGCAGTGCTAGTTTGGTCTGGAAATGAGAGTCATGTGTGATTCGTCCGTGGTCTGGTTGCCTTGTTCTTGGTCATGTGTTCTGTACGTATTAGTCCCTGATGGGTTGTCCCGATTTGTCGTCGGTTTATTACTGCTTGTTCTTTGTTGTTTTCTTTCAGTCTTTTCCCGGGAGTCTTTCCCGTCGTCGTTTTCAGTCTAGTCTTTTTTGTCTCTCTCCTCCTGCGCCTTCGTCATTTGTTGATATAATACAAGTATTGAAGATACAATCAAGAGTTTGCGTTGTTGTGTGGCGGGGGCCAGGGGGAGAACCACTATTTCAAATGCACTCACATCATGTTGCTCACCAAGTTAGTGGCAACACTTTGCCTCATATTCTCAATAGTTTCTCCTTGCTGCAAGTACTTTTTTGCCGGGAGACTCAAGTCTTGATAAATTATGCTACTCCACAGAGGAGTCCATGCTATTTATTTGCTTACTAGACCTTTTTTTACTTTACTAGCTTAGCCGGCTGCTGATGCCGCTACTGTCGTACGCTATTGCCACTGGTGCTGCAGAAATTTACAATTATTGGATGCAGCCCTTTCCTATTAGAAAATGTACTTTACTAATATGCAAAAACTGCCAAAAAGCATTGTAGATTAAAGTGTCATGTAAGTCTTTTATTATGAGCGCTAGCATGCTCGTGCAAGAATTAGTTAGCAGCCAGCCCAGCGAGCTGGCCCAACTAATACTTTCGCACATCATACGCGAGTCACGCCGGCCGCATGCACCTGTGTACTGTATTTACTGTCAGTGGGCATAAGCATGCATGCAGGGATCCTGGGAGTCGTATAAAGCCTTAAAGGTTTATACTGTAAACCGTGAAATTATTGCCATGGTCTAATTTCTGCGAAATTCGCGACCGCGTGGAAATCGCGAAATTTAGAATTAGACCGCGCGAAAAGGAGATCCATGAAAGGTTTAGCAAGAATGCCACAGGTTTAGCAAGAATGCCATTCTGCAATCTCAAAATTAAAACCTCGCAAACCTGTCCGGATTCTGAAAACGCGAACTAAAAACGCCGCGAAAATTTCACGATTCACAGTAGTTATACGACCCCTGCATGCCAAGCATGAATACAGAATACAGAAAACTCATGCATTACAAGATGAATTCTGGGCGCCATGTTTGTTTAACCATTATAGTTTCGACTACAGCCTTTCGTACCATTACAAGTGGAATACAATGGTGATTAACATGGCCAGCAAGAACTTACTCTATTTAATAATAGTCAGAAATTGTAGGTGCTCAATATTTTCGGCCCCGGTATGAGCTATGAAAAAAACAGGTTTAGTTAGTGAACGGAAAATTTAGGTTTAGAGAAGCAGAATATTATTGGATTATGTGTGTTAGTGTTTGTTCGGTGACATTTTAGGTATGAAAGTTGAAACAGTCACAATAAATTAAAATGTAACAAGTGGTACGCTAGCTCAGCAAGTCGGTACGCTTTCCAACGGCCAAAGAGATTTGGAAAGCTTGTGTGTGTGTTTGTGGGTAACTTGAACATTCGGGCCATTGCCGAGCCACCGTGCTCACAGCAGAGACGTCTGTGTGTGTTATTGTTGTGCGGAAAGTGGACCACAAAGACAACATAAATCCTGCCCTCATGCTGCATGCTGCATACCATTACCAGGAGTCAGGACTGTTTTGATATTTTCTGTGTTGCCTAAACTAAAGTATTCCTCATTCAGACATTCTTCCTTATTTTGGCAGTGCATGACTTTACTGATAATAATGATGTAGGCTCATGTTACAATACACTCATGTACTGTACTATGATGAAGCCGCGAAATGCGACGAAGTCGACAAATTATGTCATTGTTTGGTTCTTCTAAGTAAGTAACCTACTTTGTAGTTAGTTCTAGGGATAAAGAATGACTGGAATGAGGACACTGCTTACACAGTCACGTTTATACCGTGTTATCTCTATAAATAAGTAATATAAGCACAGTCTCCAATAATAGCACGTCTCCAATAATAGAACACCTTGGGGTGGCATTCAAAAAATAAAGTGCTCAGTCTCCATTATAAGCACACTGTGTAAATTCATTATCTGTACCGGCGAAAAAACCCTGAAATGTGTGTGTCTGACATGAATTTGGCATGGCAACATGCCTCTGAAATAAGGTTGAAATAATAATGGAACAGTCTCCAATAAAGGAACTTTAATCAGCTGCGGCAGTTGGCAGAGGATAAGTCACGGTGGAATGGCACCCCGCGGTACTCATCTCCCTCTGCCGCTTAATATCCACTGCAGCTAGGGTGACCATCAATATTAAACAGTCTGTCTTTCTGATATTGCCACTCGCACTTGACAATAGAAGCAGCTTTCCAGTGTGCAGTTACATTCAGCCATGGTGTGTGCTTGTTTGTTTTTGTGAATCCTTCCCAGAAGCAAATGCTGGTTTTTGTACATCGTTTACTCAGCTTTTAAATATTTGCAATAAGATTAGGAAAAAAATTGGTTGTGAGCAACACTGGCTCACACTCAAATCACTGTTTTTCACCGGAAAAATATTTTATTTCAACGTTTCGGTCATGAAATAACATCATCAGGAATGAAGTGGGCACACCGGTTAGGATGGGTTAATAAATGAGGAGCGCTGCGAACTGACAACATATCACACCTGCATGCACTATTACGAGAGAGAGAACAAAAGGACAAAACATCACCAAAACAAAACCTGGTATAGAAATAACGCAATACGCGACAACTCTAAATATGGCACAGGTGCAGGCAACAAACAGAATGTACATGTGCACTAGGTGCGTGCAGACATGTAAATGCAGGCGCTAGCAACAACAGTAGTAGTAACAGTGCACTAGTGCAACGTTGAAATAAAATATTTTTTCTGGTGAAAAGCAGTGATTTGAGTGTGAGCCAGTGTTGCTCACAACCAATTTTTTACTTATGAAGCTGCGTGATGCGTCCTACAAGATTTTAAAAGATTAAGAAAATTGCAATTTCGGAGAGAAAAGAGCAGTACGTGGCATGTGGCCTCTAATTTCCTAAAAGATTAAGAAAAGCTAAACTTAAACACACAGCGAGGAGACAATAATTTGATAACCGCAATCAATAAAACTAGCTGAACCGACATTTAAATAATAATAATAATAATATCTGTATTAGGATGACCCAGAGGCTTGTCGCCTATCCAGGGGTTCACCGCTTAACTTAAGGTGGCGATCTACCTTCGCGGATAGTCCACCGTAAAATACAAACATCTCAGCCAATTCTCTTTGGAATTAGGTCAAATTTTCTGGAGACATTCATTATGTACCAAAGGACAAGGAGCAGCACAAATAGAGGACAGACTCCGCTCATGTCCATTGTTATTGCCGAATCGCGATAATTGGCCGCACCCGCACCTCTTAACCGCAACATTGAAATATGCATCCATCAAGTAGAAAATAACCAATTGCTACAGCGTTCCTAACATATATTTCTAGGTATTGAATATCAAGAAACAGTTGCAAAGTCCTTTAGATCACAATGTCACAACAAAGCGTTTTGACGCGCGCATCCGCAAAAAAAGTCATGATCGGGTCCACAACCAATGTGAGAACAAGCAATGATAAATGGCTAAACGAAGACATTCACGAACTAGCTGATGCATCACAGAGCTCAGAAATGTATAGGTTTAGGGGTATAGCACCTACCACTTTGCCGCAATCGTGGTAGAAAAATGCGGGATAGGCTAAAAAGTTACCAAAAACACACAAAAAAGGTCTATCCAATTCCAGCCTACCTGCCTACAAATCTTCACATCAGAAGCCATCTGGCTCGTAGGTGACCTCATTTTGGTCTCCTTGATGACTAGTGATGCTCTTCTTCAGTCTTCTTTACTTCTTCCTTGACTTCTTTGTCACTTCCCACAAGTTCCCAGCTCTTCCTGGTTGTATCACAATGGTGTTACTTAGTGCGGTGCCGAGCAGAAAAGCGATGCTATCTGGTTTCAGTGTTCAGCTAGAGTCTTCATTTCTTCTCTAAGGGCTTGTTCAATCAGGATCATTGCAGGCAAAATCAAGTCGGAAACCCAGCCTTCCCTGGTGGCCTCTCTCCATGGGTATGGCAATATAGATGCTGATGAATGAGGCATATCCAGGGTGCAGCCATGCCGTTTCCGTCACACATCACGGCGATCGCATGCGGTTGCAGCACTGCCACTCTGGTAAATTGCCTCAGGTCCAGCGTAGCAGATCACATGTCTGCTTCTGAACTCATCTCGGAGAACATGACCACAGATTGAATAGGATCGCGTTGCCGCCACAGGTCTTAGTATATATGGGCAGTAGAATATTGAAAACTATGCAAAGTGTCACTGGCGGTGATGAATTCGGCGCATACTAAATACAGGCCTGTGGACTTCCAATTTGAAATTGAATTTCTCAGAGTGAATGGACTTCTCTTCTCACCACACACAATGAAATCCCAAGGCAAATATCTGGGTTTGCCTGCTCGCTTAGTAGATCTACGATGGGATGTGGACTGGTACAGCTGACAGCATACTGATTTGACCAGAAATAGCAGAAATCACTCAATATTTCACAGACTAACTCCAGTAGGCTATATTTTACACTCACTGCCTGACGCCGAAAGAGAGAGAAAAACTAATCACCACGATAGCTAGAACTGTTGTTGACATCGTCATCGTCAGAGTAGTCAGGGTTGGAGATGAAGTTGAAATACGTCTTCGCTTGGCAATTTTTTTGCCAATAAATTTGAACAGCGTCGTCAACGTCAGGGATATTTTCAGCGGATAGATGGATATCGAGAGCTTCTGGCAGTCATATAGGCTGCTTCGGACATCCAAGACGACGGACAGTACTCATTCCACCCGATCTTGGTGACAGGCGACGACGTGAGACGTCTCCAATAGACTTTCCAAACACAATTGTTTGAATTCTTCACAAATTATCGAATTATTGATTTGCGCATGCGCACTGTGTCCATGATGACGTAATATGTGCGTATTGGTATGGCATGAGTCAGCAGTGGTATTTCTGACGAGAACAGAAAATTTGAACAAAATCCACAAGGATTTACCGTGAAAAGACCGATTTCTACGCTTTCCCCCAAAAAGTTGCAATTGTGCGAGTCAAAGATATGTTACATTCGGTCTTTGCAAGCTCATAGCAGCCATATGGATAAAGCAATCTCACTCAAATTTTCAGAGATGATGTCTGGGATCTATACGAGCAATTTGACACC